TGCCTCTTCACTTCATGGACATCTCACAGCCCGTACTTGCTGATGACTTCTTTAGCCTTCGTGACATAGGCCGACATGGCGTCATCCTTGGACATTCCTGAAAGAGTTCAAATTACGAGTGATTTGGACATAAATAATAATGTCTTAAAGGAGTTTTCTCCTATTTGTACACATGCTTAGAGAGCCTTTCACCCATAGCACTGAAAAGCTGGTTAAACTATGGGAGAAATTCTCATGATCAAGATGCTGAGAAAAGGTCAGGTCTGTTTATTGGTAATAAATTTAAAAAACCCAAAGAGTATTTCACAGGCAGCACAGAACGCTTCCTTTTATGAGCTCAACAGGTTCTGATAAATCACCACAATGGAAGCTGGCATCTGGGTTGTGTTTTTGTTACGGTAATGTGTAAGTAAAGATATAAAACTTTAAAACACTGGATTTTTAAAAATCTGTGTGTATATATGTGCAGTGTTTTTGGGATCATTATCATGCTGCCAGATTATAAACTGTGTCATGAATACTTCTGTTAAAAAACTGTGTTATCTTTGGCTTTTTTCATAGCTTCAGCAAAAGACATGTGAACAAATGTGTTTGTGCAACAGGCTGCTAGTAACAAAGGGCCTAAAGATAAAGATTAAAAAAGGTACTTTGATCAGTTGTCTCTCGATCGTTACTCGAGTTAGGCAACTTTTTATTCCTTGAATGATTCAGTGCTAAATGGCTTAACAAATAAAACAGTTCCTCTGAAAATGGTCAGGTACAAGGACTGGACTGAAAATGAGTTAAAGGGGCAAACGATGTCCAAAGGCAAACTTTGAAAGACTTTCAGAAAGCCTGGAGAGCTATTGCTCAAGATCATTTACATGGTCTGAGTCATTGGAAGCAAAATACAAAGAAATGAGTGGTGCTCAACACCACCCTTTGACTCTTTGCACAAGTGTGATGTCACTAAAAATGAACCTATTACAACAAAAAACCCAACAAAATCTGCGTGTAGTCACCTTTTTCTCAAGTACTCAACACTAAACACAGACTTGCAGAAACAGCTCGTGTGCAGCTAAATCATGGAGTTAACCTGCAAATGCCTTAACTCAACATTTTTTGAGGGTAATTTTACTTTAAAAAATCAATGAATAAGTGAGTAAAATTAAAACATTTGTGTGATGTTGGATGAAACTAAGTGGTGAAAATATTTGGATGTTTTGACAATGACTAACTTCTAATTTCCTAAAAGTTACCTCCTGTGAGTCTTAGTTGACACTGAACACACCTAATTTGGAGTAGATTCCTCCATGTTTGCAGAGGGGCGAAACTCATGCTCCATAAACATGTTTTACAAAATTCATTCTCATGACTTACACCTGTGGACTCAGCAGGTTTTGAGTACTAAATAGGCTGTGTCCCATTTCAGGGTCTGCAGGCTTGAAGAACGCGCACTACGCGTACTACGTACGGTGCGTACTATAAGTACGAGAAGTGCGGAAGT